TGCAGGATTAAGGCATCGTTTGGGATAACTTTCTTACAACGTTCTAGAAATTTTTGTAATAGGAAGCTGCTTTAAAAAGCATTAAGAAAGTTGTCACAAATGAAGCCTAAGAGCTATTTGTGTGGTTCTTCTATCAAAAAGAGGTTTTTTTTTGTAAATAAATTTAAGTGGCTAAAAGACTCAAGCAAGTCCTTCCCTCTGTCATCCATCCAGTTGAAGCAATTTTTTCAAATCACATATATTGATGACAAAATAATTTAAGCCTATGAAATTCTTGTGTTAAGATAGATCTCCATAAAGCACTTGACGATGTCAATCTAAGCTTTCTATCCTCCTAAGAATGATTGACAAGGTTTTCCTATTTGTTTAGTGGTACCAACTTATATAAAAAATGTAAATTCTCTTAATTTTATCATTTTTTTAACTTCCATTCTACCAGTGATTTAAGGAATGATTCATTTGTTTTTTTTTTTTAACATTTGTCATAAACTATCATAAGCAACCACTACAGGAAAAACGTCAAAATCCGACGGTTTTTTCCGGCGGTTTTATGGATTACCGGCGGCTTTGCGGCGGTATTCCAGCCGCCGGAAAAAATCGCGTAGGAAACATGTACCGGCGGTTTTTTACCGGCGGTTTATGTTGGCGGCGGTTTTCCGGCGGCTCATACCGCCGGTGACAACCGGATTTGGAACCGGCGGTTTTCCGGCCGTTACGCCGCCGGTTATCTGACCGACGGCTGACCGGCGGTCATATTACCGACGGTCTTCCGGCGGTTAAAGCGGGCGTCGTTTGTTTCTTAAACCGCCGGAAGTTAACTTCTCTTAATTACCTGATGGAAGAAAGAATTGTTAATAGCATGCATTTACTCTCGATCTTATTTTCCTTATGACCAAAGTTATATCAACCACTTAGTTTATGTTGATGATTTGTTTGAATTTGATGTCTCATATCTTTGCATTTTCTTTCGACTTATGGCTGCCTTTTGAGGTTATTTGCTAACACAAGAAAATAGGAATTTTATTTTATCAAATTTGTGGATAATCACATCATTTCTTAGAACGGTTAAGTGTTGAGTCTAATTTTTAATTATTTTGATAAGATTTGATTTTGATCTTTTTAGATTGGTGCCTACTACAAAATCCTAATTAGAAACAATCTTAAAATCCTAAGTAGAGATTGCTGCAAAGTCTTAAATAGAGGCTACTAATGTCATAAATAGAGGCTATCAGCAAAGTCTAAATTAAAGGCTATATTTTATTACATCCAGTGAACGTACGCTCCTCTACGTTCGGTTTTAGACCAAAACAGCGCAATACCGAGTTTTTTTAAAAAACTCGGTACAACTCGGTACTCGGTACTCGGTATTTCGCTTTTTTTGCCTAGATCCGAACGTAGAGGAGCGTGCGTTCACTGGATAAAATAAAAGTTCATAAAATCATCTATTGCATGTGTTTGATTTTTCTTTTTGAAAACGAGATTAATTTTTTACTATATAAACCTATATAGTCATCTCTTATAGTTCACCCCCATAACAAGAAATAACAAAAAGACTCTCAAGTCATGCTCGGGTCACTCCTATCTTGAGCTTAACTTTTATTAATTAATTGAAAATGTTTATAACAAAAGAGAGAAAAATGATTATTATTCAAAAAATTATTAATAGTATTATAAAAAAATAACGAGAAATTATAGATAAATAATAAAGAATCACTTCATATAAAAAGTGATATAAAAATTTAAGTTTTTTTAATAGCTTTATATTTAAACTCATGAATTTAAATATATTTTAGTGATAGTTATTTAAAATGAATTGGCTCACAAACTAACTAGTCTGAGTCAAAATAGAGCCAAATTTGACTTGCCAGCTCATCAAGCTCGTCATATGAGCCATTTATCTATAGTCCAACTCAAGTTGATTTGACTCACACCCCTATCCTCTTTACACTTACTAGAATCATGGTTAAGGAATGATAATATTTATTTCACTATTAAAAAAAAAAAATTGGCTCGCTTAAACCAAAAAAAAAAAAAATCTATAGTTTAGATCATCCATTGGAAGCTCCCTCTCCCATTTGTTGAGGGATTTATCTTTGCCTCAATGTATTTTGAAAAAAATGATGTTTCCCTTTAAGGGCATCTCCAATCGAAACTCTCATTTTTCACTGTAAAATGCAGTAAAATAAAAAAATACCGTGATTCATCTCCAGTGGAACGTCATTTTGCCCCAAAATCATCGTCTTTTCTTTCGCGCCTTCTCAGATGGAGTTCGGTAGAGAGAAAGAAATGACAAAAGTGAACAGTGCGACGCCAATATTGACGTCGCACTGTTGATCAGCGACTGAATGCCGGAAAAAATGGAGCTCGGTTGGGACGTCTGAGGCTCTCCATTCGCCTGTTTGCCTAATGGCTGGAGAAGACTTAAAGAAGCCACAAAGCATGCATAATAAAGAATAAGTAGAGCTATATGCAGATTTATGCACAGGAGTTGGACATTCACAGTTAAATTATCAGGCAATCTTTTGACAAAGACAGTAAAAAAATAAAAAAGTATTTCTGTACTCCTAATAAGGTAAATCAATTTCTATAGACAAACTAAAATAAAAAAACAGCTTTCGTCTGCCACCAACTTATCAATTTTGATATGCTAGCATAACCACTGAGATTGTTGCAAAACTTAGGCTCCGTTTGGAACGGTTTTCTTATTGTTTCATAAAACAACTTTATAGTACAAAATTTTTAAATATTTTACTAAAAAATCGATTTAAGTAGCAGTAAAAAAAACTATCTCAAACGAACCCTCAGGTCAAGCGGCCTCTAAAGCTGCTTTCAATCACAACCAAAGTCTCGCATACTTTAATAGGACTGCTTCATTCATCTCAGATTGCTGAATTTAGGTTGCAGAGGCTGAGATTCCAACGGTCAAAGAAAAAAATCGAGATACTTGTAAGGATGCCAGCTTCTTCTAAACTCCATGAGACTGCCATAGGTGCGATCAGCTATCCCAACAAATACAACTTCTGAGTCAGGACTTATAAGGATGCCTTCTTGATAAGGAAATCAAGAAAATCAATACATATTAGATTAGATAGATAGTAGATATGGAACCCGTCAAAGAAAAACTTGTGAAATCATCTATTAAGTGTAATCGAACAAACTAAGAACAGTTTGGTCAAAGATCCAACTATTAAGGAATAGGTTATGAGAATTGTCATTACTGATGATATAGCAAATAATAAAAATTAATATGTTTTTACGAGTGAAAAATAATAATAATTGATAGAATTTCATGAGATAGGAAAGTGAGCCAAATTGGCATGCTGAAATAAAAAGTAAGACAATAATTCCCCCTTACCTTGTTAGCTCATAGGCCTCTTCTTGAGCTAACATGCCAATCAAGCTTGAGTATGGGTGTCCATAATTGATCTAACCCAATAACAACCCAAACCTACTTTAAAAAATCCAAGTGAAGAATGACCCAATTTTTATTCATGTTAGTTTTAGGTTTGAAATCTTGACTTAATTAATTGTCGGATCTGCTTTAAGTTGGCTTAAAAAATTGAAGTTTTGGGCTTCATTTAGAACGGCTTTTTTATTGCTTCTTAAAGCAATTTTTTAAAATAAAAATTATTTAAATTAAAAAAAATTGTACTAAAAAACTGCTTAATAAAACAATAATAAAACTGTCTCAAGCATAGCCTTAATAATCATTCAGGTTTGTGGGTATTCTTTGAGAAGTAATAGAAGCAATTGTTGCCCTTTGCTTGCTCTCAAGGAATTCTCAAAACCGCTCACTACTTGCACATGATTCCAATGCATGACAGTGAAGTGGAGCTTGTAGAGTATTTGATTATCTGTTTTTGTTGCATCTATACATATATGCAAATAAAAAAATATCATCTAATTCTCACGTTGCAATACCTTCAACTCTCTCCCGCATATTCTCGATGCTCCTTCCGCCAAGAGTTCCACCAAGTTTATATACATTTTTTTAATTTTCAGTTGAATGTTATTATTTTTTAAAATTGAACATTTTATAAATGTAAAATTTCAACATTCCAATCTAATAGGCAATGCTCCAGATATTGTTTCTATAAATTCTACTGTTATTAAACCCAACATAAACATTTTGGCGAAGTAGATCATGCAACGAACACAAACAAGAACAGGAACTACAGTGGAAATAAAGAATACAAAATTTTAACATGAAAAAATTCAAAATGGCATAAAAAAACAATGAGTCACTCTATACCTAGAAATTCATAATGAAAACTTGCGAGAAATAGTATCTCTCTTCTCTCACGCTCTCTCCTTACCTCTCCTCACTCTTGCACCTTTCTCACACTAATACATGCAAAGAGAAATATAAAAACCACCAAGCGATGGAACCCTTAATGAAAAAAGAGTAGAAAATTTGTCAGCCTGCCTTGCTACTTTATGGCTCCAAGTTTGGAGCATCACAATGCTCCACTCTATCTCCAATCAACCAAACAGCACCGCAAGACAAGGTCTAGAGCGTTGTAGCGCTCTGCTCTTAGTCTGTCTCCAAACAAACTATGCAGCGCCGCAGTGCTCGGTTACACAACATTGGAACATTGTTTTGTAAAAAAAAAAAAAACTTGGGTGCAAAGCACCCAAACCCAAGTAGGGGAAAGAGGACCCCTACAACCACACGACGAGCTTGATCGTTAGAATTGAAGTCTAAGGCAACAATACAATTTATTTTATTTTATTTTTTGAATAAGTATATGATTAAGGTCTAACAATACAATTTAATTGACAGACACAATCATATTCCATACAAAACTAAGAGTTCATAGTAAGCAAAGTTGAAGCCTAACAATAACACTAGTAATACACAGCCGATCAGATACCTCACGTCAAGCCATTAAAAAAATCATTATCAAGGGATCATACGAATCAAATGTTTAAAATAACAACTTGAATCCCATTGAAGGTGCTCGAAGTGCAGGAAGTGAGCAGGAAAAAAGCACGGCATATGCCCAGCCACATAATATGGCCACAATAATAGCATTGTATTATTTAGAAACTTGGAAACCTCACAAAACTAAAACTATTGTTAAACGACCTTTCAAGATCAAGGTTCTTCATAAGCTAACAATCTCATAATATAAAAGTATTAGCCACCAAAGATGGCCAAGATATGAACCAATGTAAAAACTACAACAACAAGAGAGAAAACAAGCACATTTTCAGATAACTATATCATCCAACTACTGAAATCTAATCATCTTGACTATAAATCTTCATAAGCTCAGAACAGAAAGCCAAGGGAGTGTCCTTCTGGTAACCCAATGAATTGGCGAACCTGATATCAGAAGAAATGCCATTGTTGTGGGAGAGGACGATGCGGGACTTCTCACGGCCGGGTACCTCTGCTTTGCATCCTACATCTGGGCTGCTTACCAGCATGGCTTCACAGATCTCATGTTCATGCTCGTCTGCAACGACAATGTTGAAAGTGCCGCTACTGTCGGTGACACCATCGTAGCTGCATGTTTTAACACCAGTTTTTTCTCGGCATTCAACTTTAACCTTTGCACCTAAGAGGGCAGCCAAAAATGGGAAGGGTAAAATAATAATGAACATTAAGATGATATATGAAACTAAAAGGAAAGGATTGGAAAAAAAATGGCAGACAAATAATAATATTATTAGAAAGTATGGAGAAAATTACACAAAAAAGATTTAATACCTCGCATAGCATTAAGAGGAAGAAAAGGAGTAATGATTTGTAAAGGGGCATATCCAATACATAAAACTCCTAAAGTGGGACTTGGGATAGAAAAACAAACTTACCTTAGTGCTTTAAAATATATATTTAACTAAAACTTGTGACCTCAACATATCGTAATGAAAGCAACCTAACCAATACTCTAACCCCCAAAGACTTAGTTAGGATAAAAACAACCCCAATTAGTTAGAAAAAGGTTCTTATTGATTCTAATGATGAGACTTAAATTTATATTGAACACCTCAGAATTGAATTAATTTTGATTGAAAGTTTATCATGGTGCAAAAGATAGAAAATATGAGTCAACTTCCAGTTAAGAATAAACTCAATGATTTCAAGTTCGTGCCATGGGTAGCTAGGTCGTTTTAAGTTGACATAAAAACTTCATGCAACAAAGCATGCATATAAGTGATTCAAACAATTGAAAAATTATATTGTAAAATCATATTTAATTGACAAAATTAATAGCTTTAATATCAACAACTGTTACTTTTTTTGATCATGTAGTTAAGTTTCAATTGCCTCGATAATTTCATAAGTTTTAATGTTTAGCTTCAATCATTTTTGTTTTTATAATCTTTCACTTCTTTTAAGTATACTTTACATAGGTGTCAAAACAAAAACTTAATATATTTCGTTGAATATCAATCAATTTTTCACATTTTAAGATAAGCTTCAAGCTTTTCATTGAGTTCCATCTACTCCAATAATGATGATTTCAGCCCATGTTTGATTATGTTGGTCAAAGATTTCTTGAAACCATAAAAAATAACTAAAGCTAAGTGAAAAAAAAAAAAAATCAATTTTAAATAGGCCTCAACTAAAACCAATGAAAAACAATCAAAATATATCAATTATAAATTAAAAAAAAGTATGTACTTAACTACAACACAAAATAATTTTTTTTAGCAAACAGTCCTTCATAATTAGCCATCAAATATGAATATAAATCAAATATACATACATCAAGCCTACTCAAATCAATGTCATCAAAAGTGCCAAGCACTCTCAAGCAATACTTCTATACAATGCCCAAGGAACAGGTCATGAACATAAGCACTAGCAACGAAAATTGAGGCACTAAGATGAAACAATTACATCAATTAAAACTAATTGTAAGTACGATGAATTGGTTTTAAGACAATGAAGCAAAAATCATCACCCAAAACTATGCAAGGAAATTTTATAAATTTTCGAGTTTCATATTTAAATTCTTGGTAAATAACTACGTTAAAATAAGTGTCAAAACTTCTTCAAGTATGTAGCATATATAGCATAGAGATACTTAATCTTCACTACAATATTTTATATATTCATCACTATTCATGCTCTCTACATGCTCATCGTTTACATTTTGAAATTTTAGTGCCAAAAATGAAGCTTTTGCTTACATTAAATATAATTGTTGTCATGTCCATGTCCTCACTTCCTAAAATATTGGTGCCCTATCAATGACGCCCCAAATCAAATAATCATTACGACTGGTGACACCAATCTAAGAGTTATGCCATGCATTGACCTTGCCTTACCTCATTTAAGGGCCTAGACGAACTCCTTAGTAGCCTTTAACAACACTGCTAGATGTTGTATGATGTAGGAACATCTTTAGTTATATAGTCCTTAGGATTACTTTACCTTAGTTTGTTACCACTAGTTTCTAGAATACTCCTTTTACCCTATAAATATACAAGCTATTGTAAGAGAGGGATTATTGAATGATATATACACTCTTTTGAAGCTTTTGGAAGCTCTCTTCTTCTTCTTCCCTGGATTGGGAAACCCAAATCCTTCTTGCAGGTCGCATCTTCCGACGATCCACTACATCAGTTGGTATCAGAGCCTGGAGCTTGCGAAGATCGATGTATTGCAGAAGGTCGGCTGTCGACGACGATCGAAGCCGCAAAACAAGATTGGCGGTCGACGACGATCGACGCCAAGGAAGGTGGGCTGTCAACGATGCTCGAAGCCGGATCTCCTTCTATCAAGCTCAATCGAAGAAGTCGCTCGATCAGGTAGATAGAAACCTTGATCGGATTCGCGAAACCCTTCGGGCAATAAGGAGGATGAGGATGTCGTCGGCAACCATACCGAGGCATTCTTCTTCTTCACTATCCTCCTCCGCTCCTCGTAAACGCCATCAGTCTCGCCACGATTATCCTCCGCTCGAGCTCCCTCTCCGATGGCGTGATCCGCTGCCGGTGTATCCGCCTGTTCGCGCAGTTTGCAACCAACCCGAGGGCATCTTCAACGCCTCCCACCATCTAGAGCCCGTCGAGCGGGTTTCTGATCGGCGAAGCATAAGCGAACATAATGTGATTGTTCCGACTGAGAAAGGCAAACCTAGCGATTGCGATATGGAAACCCACGAAGAAACTGCCGCTATGGTCGATTCCGCCTCTGCTCATCTCATCGGAACATGCATAGAGCTCCCGTCTTCCGTTCCTTTGCACTCGGAGATGCGAGATCTAACACTCACAGCTGCTAATCCGATTCCATTTGACCAAAGTTTGCCCGTCCAGCCCGTCCAGCTCAATTTCGCTCTCGTACCCACTGTTCGAGCAGATATACAGCCCGACGCTAATTCCAGCTCGAACGCAGAGTTTCTAGGTGGCTCTAATGGCGCCGTCGCCACTCAGTTAATCCCTACCTTCCTCCGCAGCCGCTTCAATCGCCTCCGGATGGGATTCTTCCTACACAGCCCATTCCCTTCATCGGAGATCTATCACACCTTCCCTGTGCGTGAGGAGATCCTGAAAGCCCTTCTCAACTGCGACCTGGATGGCTTCCACACCTTCGATTATGCCCACCACTTCCTCTCCTGCTGCAGCCGAATACTAGGCATTGAGTATCAGTCCAAGCGCGGCTATATAGGACTCGAGTACTTTGGTCGTATTGTGGGAATTAAGATCATGCCGGTGGGTATTCACATGGGGCAGCTGCAATCAGCCCTTGCCTTGCCGGATAAGGACTGGCGCATCTCAAAGCTGCAATCAGCCCTTGCCTTGCCGGATAAGGACTGGCGCATCTCGCAACTCCAACATCAGTTAGCTGGAAAGATGGTCCTCCTAGGTGTCGATGACATGGATATATTCAAAGGTATAAATCTCAAGCTCTTGGCCTTTGAACAAATGCTGAAGATACACACCAAGTGGCAGGGCAATGCTGTCCTTGTGCAGATTTTCAACCTCGCAAGGGGCAGGGGAAGGGATCTTGAAGAGATCCAGTTGGAGATTCAACAGAGTTGCAGGAGGATCAATCAACAGTTTGGGAATGCTAATTACAAACATATTATTTTCATTGATCGGCCAGTATCAATTGAGGAGGGAATTGCCTACTATACAATAGCAGATTGTGTTGTGGTCACTGCAGTGAGGGATGGAATGAACCTTACACCTTATGAATACATTGTCAGTAGGCAGGGAATTGCTTCTGGATCGGATTCTGATTCTGGTTCAGATGGTCCAAAGAAGAATATGCTTCTGGTTTCTGAATTCATCGGATGCTCTCCTTCACTTAGTGGAGCAATTCGAATTAATCCTTGGAATACAGAGTCGACGGCAGAGGATATGAACGAAGCAATATCAATGAATGATGTAGAGAAGCAAGTTCACCATGAAAAGCATTACAGTTATGTCAGCACTCATGATGCTGCTTACTGGTCCAAGTCATTTATGCACGACTCAGAGAGGACATGCAAGGACCACTTCAAGAAGAGATGCTGGGAAATTGGTTTGAGATTTGGTTTCAGAGTTGTTGCACTTGATCCGAACTTCCGGAAGCTCAACATTAATGGTATTGTTTCAGCCTATCAGAGGTCTAAGAGCCGAGCCATTTTGTTGAATTATGATGGCACAGTTATTCCACAGGCAGCTATTAACAAGACCCCAAGTGCAGAAGTTATCTCTATTCTTAACACACTTTGTGGGGATAAAAAGAACTTAGTCTTTATAGTTAGTGGCAGGGGTAAGGACAGCTTGGGGAAGTGGTTCTCTCCTTGCAAAAACCTTGAAATTGCTGCAGAGCATGGTTATTACATGAGATGGAGTCAGGATGAGGAATGGGAGACATGTGTACCCATGCCAGACTTTGACTGGAAGCAGAATGCTGAACCTGTCATGCAGTTATACACTGAAACAACTAATGGATCGAGTATAGAAGCTAAAGAAAGTGCGCTTGTTTGGAATTATCAATATGCTTATACTGATTTTGGATCCCGCCTGGCCAAAGAACTTCTGGACCACCTGGAAAGTATTATTGTGCTTAAAGTTTATGGTGCTTCTGGTCTTATGGGTATGCATAAGAGACGCAAAGTATTCGACCCAGGGATCTGGTTGGGATGTTCACCACTACTGCCCTCCTAAATAACGAGCCTCGAACGGAGTCGAGCTCTTTTTGTGCAAGGGGAGAATGATGTAGGAACATCTTTAGTTATATAGTCCTTAGGATTACTTTACCTTAGTTTGTTACCACTAGTTTCTAGAATACTCCTTTTACCCTATAAATATACAAGCTATTGTAAGAGAGGGATTATTGAATGATATATACACTCTTTTGAAGCTTTTGGAAGCTCTCTTCTTCTTCTTCCCTGGATTGGGAAACCCAAATCCTTCTTGCAGGTCGCATCTTCCGACGATCCACTACATCATTGTACCACCAAATAAAATATACAGTAACAAAGATTGAAGTTCTAATAAGATTACCTAGATATTCTATAATTTAATGCAATACTAAATAAAAAAAATAAAACTATATAAAAAAAAATTGTATGAGTAAACAAGATATTGTCAAATGAAGCTAATTAGGAGTCCGAAATCTAAAAATAAACATTTCAAATTTGATTTGAAGTTAATCTAGTTAATGCACTTCAACAAATAAAAGACCAAAATCCAAGAGGAGTCCAAAACAAAAAAATGAACATTTCAAATTTTGTTTAAAGTTAATTTATGAAATGAACAAAAAACACACTAGAAATAGGATCTTAGATGTGAATTTCATGATTTTATGAGGTTCCACGAACCCAAAAAGCAATCAAAGACATAAACCTAAGGACAAATTCATACAAATGAAAAAAAAAAAGAAAACCAAGAAAGAAAATTCAACCATCATGCCATCATGCCTTAGGGGTGAATGCAATCCATTTGAGATTAAACAAGAGTATCATAATAGTGGAAAAGAAAGAAGTTCAAAAGCAAGGTCTTTATCTGAAGTTATGAGTTAGTACTTAGTGAATGTGACGCCCTCAAACCTAACAGCAACTTTCTCCCAAATTTTAAAGGTGGATCAGACCGAAATAATGCGCGAGTTCATCCTTCAAAATTCGTATATTTCTCCCTGCCTAAGGTATGCAACTGAAAATACTTAATATAAGTCGACCAAAGTTCACAATCAGACACCAAAATGCTAGGAGATCCAGTTCATCAGAGAGGCAATCGACTTCCAGGCCTAGAACATAAGGACCACGACCTATAATATGAACAGCCTCTTTTTCAGCTCCACAAATCGATACCTAATTCTAGACCAAGAAAATATTTTCCTAGGGAAAGATTAGAGAACAAGTCGTGGCACTTAGGGGCTCTTTAGGTTCAGTGACACACGTAATGTAAAATGTTATGCTTATCAATTTGACAAATATCTAACGTCATGACAACTGTAGAATCATGTTAATGTATATTAATATAGGTAATATTGACATCACAATATAATAAGCAAAACATTTGACTGATAGCATCGCAACACTTACATCTTAGCACTCAGATCTTAATAGCTGCATTTCAATAAACCAAAGAGCCACTAAAAAATTCCAAATATTTCATCCATCCATAACAAGATTCCCATCTAGCCTTCAGAACTCGCCGATATCATTTTCAACGAAGCACTCAAGAAAACTTCAACTAATTTTATTAACCAACGCCGTCATCGCCTTCATTACTCACGCAGTCGTTACTCTTCACTAACCCTTAGAAAAAAAACTTAATATATCAAAGAAATTCCAAAGACCTCTGCTTAAGATCAGTACAAAAACTGATCACTAGACTACACCCTCAAGAAACCTTAACCAAGATTCGATTCCGCCTCTATCGTTCGTTATCCATCCAGATCATAAACCACCGACGCAAAAAAAGTAAAATGCCCATTGCCATCGGCCTCAAAAGGTCGTCATCCTTCCAGATCAAAAATTTTCAAACCCAAAAAGGTAAATGCAAAGGCCATCAGTCCAGATAAGGAAAACTCCATAATCCAACGGCCCAGACAGCAAAGAAAACACAACAAAATGTCCAAACTAGGGCATCATCTGTTACCTTCGATGTAGGTGGTAGCGGGGGTCTCGAATCCGGCACGACAAGTGTCACAGAATACTCGCCCCTGTACCGTGAACCGGACCGCCGGTGCGGCACGACCACCGAACACTGACGCCGGCAAGAAGCATATCACCAAGAAAACGGAGACAACGGAGAATGCCACTGAGATCTTGCAATTAGCCATCTTAGTTGATCAAATTCAAAGCGAAATCGCGAATGGGTAGATAACAATGGGAAGGCGACGCGGTGGTTTTAAAGATGGCAGTAATGCGTAGTACGTTGCGGTATTCTCCCGGTGAGAATAAGTGCAGTGAGGCTTAGTAGGGTTTGAATATAACAAAATTTGTATAACACATTAGTATATTACAATGATTTTATTAAAGTAATATGTCTTAATTTTAAACATATAATCTGTTGACTTTTGAGGCTTCTTGTTTGAAATTATTATTTTTTATTATAGTATGTTATGGTGTGGTGTAGTGCATTTTAGAGTAGAATAAATAATTATATGATAACATTCTATTAAAATAATATTTAATAGAAAATTATGCATATTTAAAATGATTTATTATGATCAAATTTTTATAAATATCATATTGCACTCAAATGTTTATTAGTCTATAATTATATTAATTAATTAATTAGTATGCTAAATAAATTAATAATTTAAAAAAATCTTATTTCAAGAAGCTATATAAAATATATTGAACTTCTATTCAAATGTCATAATTATTAAATCAAATATTTTAATATTACTTATATTTTCAAGAGTCTCAAAGCAAAAATTATAAGAAATATTTTATGTTAATTTAATATTGAATTTTTTTAATGGTTAAAGTGTTACTCCACCAAAATTAAAAGCCGGGCATGTGGAGCGGAGGTGATGGGTAAGCAAGTCAGCGTATCGCTGGATTGATGGAGTGACAGCTTGCGTCGGTGGAGTGGAATCACATGGGAAGTAGCGTTACACAACGCGGTTTCGGCGTGAAGCCGATGATTACGGCAACGCGGGATGAATGCGATGCCAGCCAATTCAGTTTGTGAGTTATGATCACTGCTTTGAGCGACGGAAAAGTTAAGATAGCTTGGCGAAATTCAGGGCCGTATGAGTTGGCACTTGGCTTCGTTTTCACTCGACATTAGGGCTGCAAGCGAACCAAACCTTCGACCAGCTACTCGTTGTTCGGTTCAATTAAAGCTCGTTTGTGATCGTTTAATTAACTAAACAATCAAATTTAAACAATATTTTAGATACTCTATTCTTAAATAAACAAACTTGAACGCTAATGCGTTCGGCTCATTTATGTTCGCGAACAACATTTGAACAAGCTCGAAATTAAGCTCTATAAGAAGCTCGATAAAAGCTCGATCCGTGTTCGATTTTGAACTCGTGAATAAGCTCAATAAAAATAATTAATATTTGATTATAGAATTATTACTATAAATAATATAAATATTTTATATTTATTATAATATAATGATATAATTATTGTTAAATAATAAAATATAAAGTAAATAATATTATATTATATGTTAATTGAGTATTTTTATTAAATTTAAGTGAATGATAGGAATGTCAAAAAAATTGTAGCTTTTTATGGCTATTTATTTATAAATCATTGCCTTTATTAGTGATGGTGTTAGGAAAATTCTGTGAAGATGAGATTTGCTTATAAATCATTGCCTTTGTTACATAGACAATTGCTTTTATTATAAATGTATTTGTTAATATATATGTTCATGAACGTGTTTGTTTGATAGTTAAAAAAAAATTGTTAGATATATTCGCGAACATGCTCGATGTAATTGTTTGTTAGGAAGCTCGATAAAGCTCGTTTGTTAAGTTCATGAACATCTAAAAGTGGAGCTCGTTTATAGCTCGTTCATGTTCGTTTGGTTAAAGCTCGATAAACATTAAACGAACGAATATGAACTGAACATGAACCGAATATGAACACGCATTAATTTAAATGAACCAAACATGAAAACAAACAATAAAGCTCGAACAAACATGAACCAAACTTAAACAACCTGATATTAAATGAACACAAACATGAACACTCACATACTCGGTTCGGCTCGGTTCGTTTGCAGCCCTACTCGACATAATACGACTTTCTTGTCTAATATAATTTTTATGTTTTCCATTAAATCTTTAATAAATAGTTGTTTGAGGTTGAAGTATATTAAAGCAATTAAGGATGCTTATCTCACTATGATCCAAAGTTTTGAAAAAATTTTAAGCGTTAGTTAGCTTATGAGGGCGACAATTAAGGAAGCCCCTGTGGTTAATTACATCCCAGGAGAGGTTATCTCCCAAGAATACTCTCGATTAAAGCATATGACTCTTGTCCCTATGAAGTTTCAAAGTTTGGATATCAAGGATGTTCAATAGGAGTTCCAAATGGGATAGATCAAAGAGGAACAGTTCTTTTCAGAATCCAAAGGAAGAAGTGTAGGGAGCGCTGGATACTGGGACGACCAGTGGTGTTCCAGTCATCCACTTCACCTTAGCTCGTTGTCTCCACCAAGTCATAATACGAGCAAGTGTACTATTCAATAACTGTACCTTGTATCTCAAGGTTTCAGTTTGAATATCATTCAACCCATTAGGAGAACATTCCAATTCTTGTAAAGCTTTCATTTCTCTATCAAGATCTTCCTTCAGTTGATTAAGCATTTTCAGTTTGTTCTTACTCCAAAAGAACAGTGCTTTCAACGTCCTCTGGCATTTCTTTTGAAGTTTATCTGACTCACTTCACTACCCAAGTCCTCCACCAGCAATAAGTTTTATTTTGAGATGGAATAGTGATTGTAGTTGCTTACTATTTTACGAGGTTTTGTAGTGTTATCATTTAATAGGATTTTATGCTCAGGTGCATGCCATCATAAAATCTTGAATAATTTAAGTCGATGCCCTATCCTCTTGTTTTTTTTAACGAATATATTAAAACCAAAAAAGAAGGTTACACAAAGAGAAATAAGCATGTGGGGAAAAATCTTCCACTTCCCAAAGACAAAAGGGGAAGAGATACAACTTGAAAAACAACCCAAAAGCAGCTGCAGACAGAGACAAAAAGAAAAAAAACCCCTCAAGTGGTAAGGAGGACCCCTTCATTGGTTTGTATTGTGCAATAAACCCAATCCAAACCAATGAAAAGAGGTCACTCATTAAGCACTTGAGGGAACCAAGTCCCCCACCTATGAAATCTGTTGAAGTCTTCTTTCTCTTCCTAGGGGAGTTGGCCAAAGCACTTAAAAGGCCCAAGTCGGATGAGCTCTCTGTCCAAACGAGACTTGGATACTCTTGGTTGTTGCTTGCGAAAATTCAAAATCCTATTGGAAGTTTCTTCCATTTGCTGTAACTTCTCGGCCGAAAATTGGATAGGAGGCTCAACTTGTGGACGAGTGCCTTGTTCTTTAGGAGCTCTAGGTTTGCCTTTCCTTTTCGGGTGACTATGTTCCAAGCTCCAAGGGAGGATTCATCCTTGTCCTGACTACGAAAGGGCTCTTCAATAGATGTATGCTTTGACTCAGGAGAGGGAGTAGGTGCGTGGGGGACATTCTTGGATGTTGCTTGCTCTTTGGATGTCGACGTCGACTGCAATGGAGGAGATTTAGTTCCACGGGTTGGAGCCTTGGATATGCAAACTCCATTGGCATGACCTATTAAACCACAATCGAAGCAGAAGTTAGTAAACCTTCATATTCGACTCGTTGAAAAAATCATCCTTGAAGCCCATTGATCCACACCCCAGCTTGAAGCTTTTGAGAATGAACAATCCTAATACAAATTCTTGCATAAGATGATCTTCCCCATCTACTCGTGTGTGAGTCCATCCACAGAGGTTCCACTAACATATTGGCAAGCCAAGTGATATTGTTTGTATCCCAATACATGAGAGGGAGCTGTGGGAGCCGAATCCAAATGGGAGAGTGAAGCCCATGAAGAGAGTTTGGAGAGGAGGTAGGAGACCACTTGTCCATTCTGATGATGTTCCTGATGCGGGCCACTGCCGACACCGACCGGCAGAGGGAGGGCGGGCTACCCCGTGGCGCGCGGAAACAGCTGGAACGGCGCCGCACGGCGCGCCTGTTCGATCTGCCGAGAGGGGACGCGGAGCGGACGGGCGTTCGGCTTGAGCGGAACCCGGTCCATTCTGGACTGTTTGGCTCAGGGTCTAGCCTGAGCTGGCGGTTCAGTTTGGGCACCCACTAGTGGGTTTGGTTGGGTCTTTTGCTTGCTTTAAGTAGGGATTGAGGTGGGATTTCTAGGTCATGCATTAGAGTTTTCTCTTAGCCTCTTATTTCCTTCCTTGTTTTTCTAGGGTTTTAGTGGGAACCTTGTCCTTCTCGAATTGACAATTGTATCTTGTTTCTCTTGAGTTTAAATGCAAATGTTCTTGTTCTTCCTCATCTCCTCTTGTGTGATTTTTTCTTGGATTTGAGAGAAATTTTCATCTTGAAGGAAATTAGGCCAAACCCAATTGTGACCAACCTAGGCGTATCAAGTTGGTACAAGCTCTCGATCCTAGACGGCATGGCATCAAAGAAGGTAGAAGTTTTGGAGGAAGATGAGCCAATTGAAGGAGGAAGTAGGAGAGAAGCTTTCGTTGTTGGAAGAAAATTCTCATCCTAGAGGAGAGATTTGGGAATGGAAGAGATGATCCGTAAATTGGTAGACCCCAAGTTGCTCAATCAAATCCGAAGAAAGGGAAATCGCGATGTCAACCCTAACCCCTAATTTCTCATTAGGGAAGAGGAGCAAGCCAACCGGGAAGCCATGCAAGCCCCACCTCACATCTCGCGCTAAGAGCCTTGGTCAAGGGAAGGGGTGGGAGGCCTCTGGCATGGGTGGTGCCCCGTGGGAGGGGGCCGCCGGCCAAGGGGGAGGAGCCTACGTGACCCTCACGGTCCGTATGGAGGGTGGCCGATAGGCCGGAGGAGTGCAAGAGATGGTCGCACCACTTGGAGCACAAGAGGGGCGAGAGGTCCAGAGGACCGCCGGAGTTGGGCGCCGAAGCACAGGAGAGGTCGGGGGTGGTTGGCCGAGACCACCGGGAGGCGCACACGAGGGGGCCGAGCCCTGGGAACCACCAAGAAGGGGGGTGCAGACCCCGTATCATGGGAGTGGAGGGAGACCTCAGTGGGAGGAATTTCAGCATGGGCCATGGAAAGGGAGAATCTTCCTCGACAGATACACGATGAGGAAGTGAAGGTCCCCGTATTCGAAGGGGAGATGCATACGGATGGTCTACCGGGTGGAGCATACTTCACCGTTAACGGCGTCACGGAGGAGGAACAGCTGATGGCTGTCCCGATTTGCTTGGAGGGAAATCATTGGCTTGGTTCCAATGGATTGAGGGCGACACCTATACGAAGTTGGGAAGAGTTCAAGGACCTATTACTGCACAGGTTCAAGTGTCCAGTGAGGGCACCCATTATGAACAGTTCATGTCTCTTGTTCAGGAAGGCACAGTGGCAGATACCCGGGAGCGCTTTGAGCTTCTATCTGGGCGATTGAGGGAATGCCCGATGACGCATGGAGGGGAATTTCATGAAAGGGTTGAACCCTACATCAGAGCCGCATCAGGGTGGTCAACCCACGTGGGATAGTGGGAATATGGAGACAGCTCAGCTTGTTGAGACAAGCAGGCGGCGATCAGACACGGAAATCAGGGGGGTCTCACCCACATATCGCTCACCACTCATGCCGAAGGACCTAAGGTGACGCCACTACTCATCCAGAGAGTAACAGGAGAAGCACCACTGTGATGAACCAAGGGGGTTCAAGAGACTGACTGACTCCGAATTGAAGGAGAAGAGGTCAAGGGCCTCTGCTACGTTGCGACGAGAAATTTGCACCTGGGCATAGGTGTAAAGAGAAGACCCTGCACGTGATAGTGGTGGGAGATTCAGATGGGGAACAGATGAAGGGCAACAATGGAAAAGCTATTTGAGGTAGAGCATCCTCTCCTAGATATGATAGAAGTGAGTCTGAATTCGATGGAAGTTTTACATTCCATCCCACCATGAAGATGAAGGGTGAAATTGAAGGTGCAAGTTGAGAGTTTGTTTGACATGGGAGCCACTCACAACTCCTTGGCCTATCGAGTGGCGACAGTTGAGTCTTGAGGTGATAGCAAGTAAAGAGGTAGAGTGACCATATGCACAGGATAGAAGGCCGCATTATGGAAATGCAAGGAAGTCACTTTATCTTGCAAGGGAGTAGTTACTCAAGATTTTTTGCTGATGGATCTGGAAAACGCTGACGTCATCTTGGGTATGCAGTGGCTTCAATCCTTAGGAGACATGGAGGTCAATTGGGAGAGTTGTTGGTTATCCAACAGTAATGGTCGGAGGTGGCCACTACATGGACCTAGCCTATGTGGGTTACCGACCACCGAGACTCTACTTTCTTTACCTTAAAGGACAAGGTTAACTCTAAAGGAGGGAGTATTGATGCGGGCCATCTCCGACGCCGACCGGCAGAGGGAGGGCGGGCACCCCGCGGGCGCGAAAAACACCGCGAACGGGCGCCGCACGGCGCGCCCGTTCGATCCCCGAAGCAGGGACGCGGAGCGGAACGGGCCGTTCTGCTTGAGCGGAACCAGTCCATTTCTGGACGTTTGGCTCAGTCTAGCCTGAGCTGGGCGGTTAAGTTGGCAGACCCACTAGTGGGTTGGTTGGGTCTTTGCTTGCTTAATAGGGATGAGGGGATTCTAGGGTTTATGCAAGATTTGAGTTTTCTCTTAGCCTCCTTAGTTTCTTTCTCTTGTTTTTTCTAGGGTTTGTAGTGGGAGACCTTGTCCTTCTCGAAGTGAACAAATTGTATCTTGTTTCTCTTGGATTTTGAATGCAAATGTTCTTGTTCTTCCTCTCATCCCTCTTGTGTTGATTTTTTCTTGGATTTGGAGGAGAAATTTCATCTTGAAGGAAAATTAGGGCAAACCCTAATTTGTGAAACCTAAGGCGTATCAGTTCCCTACTATAATCCACGGCCCACTCATGAGCACCGCATCCCTTGCCTCTATACTTTGGAAAATATAAATAAAAGAGTTTGGAGCTGTAGTAATGACATTGAATCCCTCGAAGTGGAACCACCTACGTTTGAGCTCACCAAGAAGGTTGGGAAAAGCAACCCTCCATCCCATGAGTTTAACCACCAAAGCTCTATCCAATTTGGCAATGTTCTCATGTACAGCGGCCACTTCCGGCTCCATGGACATCCCATCCTTGGATAAAAAAATTTCAATTGGCATTTTATCCAACTTGACGAATTGGACCTTGTTCCAAGCGAAGGGGCCGGACTGCATTACTCTAGGCTGCATCGGAGATGCAACCGTGGACTGGCAAAGAGGGCGAGCAGCTGGTGGGCACTCAGCGGCAATAACACAAACATCTAGAGTACGCTCTCCAGAAGCAAATTACTGAATTTGGGAGTGGTCAAGAGGCTTTGTACACCTGTAGTTTGGGGAGTTCCCCACACACCAAGCCTTGGAATGTCCACAAGCGACACCAAGAGCATCATTTGTAGGGGAATTCAACTCCCCACACCAGAGGATAGGAGATGGACGAACCTAGGCGGGATCCAACTAGTCACAGGTGGGCGTCGCAACGAGCAGGTCGAGGCTTTCGAGAATTCAACCACCGACTGACACCAGACTTCTGCCCAGCCACAGACTGACGTCGGATTTCTTCCTAGACACCGATTGACAAAGGAGTTCTACCCAGCCACTAACTAACATTGGATTTCCTCCCGGCCACCGACTAAAGACAAATTCCTGCCCAGCCACTAATTGACGTCAGACTTCCTCCCTACCACCGACTGATGCTGGATTCCCTCCAGGCCACCAATTGACATTGTATTTCTTCCCGGCCACCAACTGATGTTAAAGTTCTGCCCAACCATCGATTGACGCCAAATTTCCTCCCAGTCACAAACTGACGTCGCACTTCCGTCTGGCAGCCAACTAACGCCGAATTTTTGCCCGACCAACGAACATTACCAAATTTTTGTCTGATCTATATTAGCCACTAAATTTCAACCCGACTATTGACTTTTGTAATCCGATCGTCCTCAATTTCAAGGATATTAATTACTTATAATCTCTCCAAACATTAGTAGAATAATTTCAATTGGGTGTGACCCCCATAAATTTTTTTCCTTTCAAGATTTTTCCACGTACAAAATTATAGTGTTTTTTTTCCTCATTTTGTGCTAAAAACTCGTTTAACGCTAAGACGTAAGATTTTCCATACTTTAGCGCCACGAATACTCTAGCCCTCAGACAAGTAGGAAAATTGTCCCAAAAAGCCTGAATCACCATCAAAGCAGCCATTGTTAAATCAACATTTATTCAACATTAGTTCAAATAGCATTAGTTCAATCAACATAAAAGAAGTGCTAAATTAATGTTAAATCAGCAGTCGATCAAGAATTATATGAACTGATCCCCGTACACTAATGAGTGCCATAAATCATATGAACCGACTCACCAAATTAAGACCAACAAGAACTATGAACTATATGAACCCCTCATAATAAGAATTCCACTTATTTTGCACCGCCAAGCAATAATAGCAATAGATAATAACAGGAATTAATACTAGCAGAAATGCAGTCAAGCTCATAGATTATCCATAATTGTTATTGTGGAATAGCTACTAGCAGCTCGTACAGGTCTGAGCACTTGCATTAAAAAACAGAATCATGAGGTTTTGAACACAAGTAGATTACCAATATAAGGGATACTGGAGAATTATGATAATTGAGAGAAGAAACATAACCATAATATAATGCATCATCTGCTACTGCAAAGCCAACTTGAGAGAACCAGACCTTGAAATTCAAATCTGCATACTTAAGAAGGAACATGTGAAGGGCATGCTCTTTTAATTCCACCACTTATACAGACTTCAGTTCTCCAACCTTTTTCAGAATGTCACTTGTACTCTAGGATCATATTGTTCTCTGGGGCCAGGCCAATGCAAGCCCTCAGTATGTTCTCCAGCATAGCCCTCTGTTTGGAGAGGGCATTCACAACCGGCGTGCCCGGCGGAACCTGTTTCAACATAGTAAAACAACAAAACGGGCTCAACAATACCATGAATTTCTAGTAATCAAACATTGGGGAAATTATTAGGTGCGGACACTTGACGTATAGATGCGTCCGGATTACTGGATGCATTGCGTACACTCTGCCTACACTCTGCTTATACTCTGCGTATTTAGATACACATCAAATAAGCAACAAATCCTCACAATTAAATATTTGCTGTTTATTTATTACGTATCTACAAATATGCAGTATATACACAGCAAATACGGAAAGTGTAGGTAGAGCTTAAGCATAAGATACGTAGTAATCTGGATGCATCTCTACGTCCGATGTTCGCACCTAATAATTTCCCCAAACATTGACACGAAACGAGCATTTCAAACTTACAAGAGGGGCTTTTGTTAGGTAGCTCAGGATGGTTGCCACAGGATGGAAGGAATGGAACTTCCCCTGCAAAATCAAATGCGGAAAACACATTTATCTCCTAACATCTCAGTAATCACTTGCAACATCACAGAATAGATATGGAACAAGGAACAACAACAACAACAACAACAACATCAAGCCTTTGTCCCACTATGTGGGGGGGTCGGCTACATAAATCCTTTTTCGCCATTGTGCCCTGTTAAAAGTTAAATTCTCATTTAAATCTAATAAAGAAAGATTATTACTAATATTTTCTAACCAAGTCTTTTTAGGTCTACCTCTACCTTTCTTAACATAAGTCAAATCTAATACCTCAACTTTCCAAACCGGGTCATCAGAAGGCCTCCGTTTAATATGACCAAACCATCCAAGGCGGCTCTCTCTAATCTTATCTTCCATTGGAGCTACTCCAACCTTTTCACGTATATGCTCATTTTGTATCCTATCTCTAAGGGTAAAGCCACTCATCCACCTAAGCATCCTTATATCTACAACACTTAACTTAGTATTATGATTCTCTTTTAATGGCCAACATTGTGGAACAGGGAACATTTGTACAAAATCAAGGGATCTTTCACAAACCTCTCCTTCAGCCTTTAACTGAATTCTCGTGCTGAGCTCAGCCAGCAGCACCAAATCAAGAATGATTGGCGCAGCAAGGAGCGAGTCCTCGCAGGTGTTGTGAAGTACGATTGTGCTTTTCCCACCCATGAAGATCTCAGATGTGTACTCATCCATCGCCCTCTTGCTATCCCCAACATAGGGAACATACTGCAATAAGGAGGGTAATATTTAGATATCGAAGAATAATTACAATAAGGCTTTGTTTGGGACGGATTTCTTACTGTTTCTTAAAGCAGCTATTTAATGCAAAAATTTAAATTTTTATACTAAAAAATTGCTTTAAGAAGCGGTAAGAAAGCCGTCCCAAACAAAGCCCAAGTCTGTGAACTTTGCTAAAAAGGATAGTACATCCATCCACCTTTATGACGATAACGTGGTCAGGATGCTCCCCTGGTTGGTAGAGGATGCCATTGCTGGCGACCATGTCATCAACGACGTTACTTTTTGAGATCTCCTTCGAACGAAATGTTTGTGGGGCAGAGAGGTTCATGCCATCATTGTTACCAAGATGGTTGTAGCTAACAATGGAGGTCGGCTAGAAGGAAAGAAACATTTTTCTGTTAGATCACCTAACATAAAAATATTTTTTCCGTATAGAGGTATAAATATAAGCTTAGTGCTTTCACCTTGATTCCTGCACCCACAAGGAAATCAACGAGGACAGACTTCATCTTGGTTTGCCCACTTTTGAAATCATCTCCTCCAATGAGGCTGTTCCTCCGAATGGCAAAATCAATAAGTCCTAACGAGAATTGCAAACAAAGAACGTAGGTTTGTTATTAAATCCTTTCTCATAATACATAAATGATCAATAAACATCAAACATGGGTGATAGGTCTCATATATACCGGGCACGAAGGTGTTTTGTGGGCTTCCATTGATGAATGGAATGTTTTCCATGACGCAGGCTATAGCATACAAGGTTGATGGGGCGATCTCCGCCTCATTCTTCTCCAATGATGCAAGGAGATTCTCAGTGGTGTCATTGAGGCCAACCATCACATTGCTGAACCTTTCAGTGTTTGCAGTCCAAAGAACTACGACCTTGTCAACCTTGTTCTGTTCCTTGAACTCTCTATCACAAAACAATTTGCAGATCTCCTCATTAATACAGTGAACTTATCTGGACCATAACCAAACCATACTACATATTCTCAAGCTTTTGATGGAGCATTGAAAGCACAAGCACGAAATCATGATGATCATAGCAATCATAGGGGGTATTTTATTCACCGTAAATTAGGTGCCCAATTAAAAGAATAAACCAAAAAATTTTATTTGTATGTATGATTTGGAGAAAAATTCAAGCATTTATTTACATAAAGGGTTCATCTAGCTATTTGTAAGTTAGAAAATACATTAGGAAAATGATAAAGTTTGTTAGATCTATCTTTTGAATGGCTGTAGTTTAAAAATCGAAATTGATTTTAACTCCACAAAATCCCTTCAAATGTAATGATTTTATTTTCAACAAAAAACAAGTGAAGTCATAGTGTTATAAAACATATTGTCTATCTAAAAGCAACCTAATGAGTTCCAATACATGTCTTAGTCCTTTCAATTCCCAAAATCTCTGAGTACAACCGAGTAGATTTCATTTACTTCATTGAACATTTGTTCAACCAAACAACCTCACATTCAAGAAAGTTGACTAGAAGTGCTTTGGTACGACATAAAAAAAGATAAGTAACTTTAGAAAGAATTGACCTGTAAAGGTCTGCTTACCAAATTATCAATGAACGTGATGGAGAGTGAGAGATGGTGATAAACAGTACCTAATATCCTTGATAATTTGTTGGACTTGCTCACTCTTGGTCCCTTTGATGACATTGTTGGCACGGGAATCTTGATTGGCAGCAATGAAATCTGGATCGTAGATACCAGGAAGGGGAGCCATGGACTCCATGTAGGGCCTAAGTTGCTTCTGCAGATCAATATCCAACACCTTGGCCCTAGTCATTGAATCTGCTAGGTTCAGGTTGCTTATGTCCCATCCCCCAAACACAATTTCATCCGGGTTCACCTAAATCAATAAGAAAATAAAATTATTCCTTTACACAACAAGTAATCATCCGAAATACTGCATCACAATCCACTAAAATTTTGTTTGGAGAAGAAAATGTGTTCAAGTAAAAATGAACACAGATAAAGTAGAATGTCAAGTTTTTTTGGCTAGTTCTCAAAAAATAACAACATTTCTAAGAGTAATCTTCTCAAGAGGGCCTGGGGAAGCAGCAAGTTGTGGTCACGTGTAGTTCAAATTCAGAATCACTTAATAAACTATTTTTGAGACGCCAATAAAATATGCCTGGAACTATATTTCAACTTAACTTTGTTTGGGTTAATAAACATCATTGCGTGCTTGAAGTAATTACAAAAAATCATGAGTCAGAATTTAATGATCTTCTTAGAGTAGGAATTTCAAACATGCGGACTTTTTTTTTTTTCAAACATGCGGGCATGTCCACGTAAAGAGAGTGATTTTCAATTGGAAAACCTTGAAGAGGAAAACCAAGGACTAGCCTTCATGGAAAATTCCACTAGTTGCAAAAATGACAAACAGAAGTTGTGGAACTCCATGCATCCAGTATATTTTGCCACTTAGGTAGTCAGCATGACGGCAATACAGGCACCTTGTCCGCGCTCAGCATCCCATCCGTCAGTCAGCTATTGATACCCATGTTTTTATAAGTAAAAACACTATAATTATGTCGAATAGCCATATGTCTTCAAAACATTTTGCTAGGTTCTCTTAAAAAGAAACCAAGCTGATGCATCATACCATGGAATACAAGAGAGATTAAAAAAAAATGGAATACAAGAGAGGTGTTCACTTGCAAGATGATAGAACTTGATAATCAAAACAACACACGATCATCTAAAAACAACAAATTTACTCAAGAAATAACACCAGAGGCTGTATTTACTAATCTCCAAGCAAAGAAAGACAAGACACAAGTTGATTCACTGTTCGAGAGGTGAATCGTCTCCCCTACAATTCCTAGCAACCACTACGAACCCAAACACCCAACAAAAACTGTTGCAGAAAATAAAACTCTAGCATAAATCCTAACCCTCCATAATGTTCCTCCTTATACAGCACAAATCCCCTAATAAATGTCCCTTACATCTTTCCTAATGAGCTACCCCCAAAGCCTCTTCTCCCATCGGTGATAAAAGAGGTCCTAGCCCCATAGTGGAGCTAAAAGGTCCCTGATCGGCTGCGTAGGAACCGGGGAAATCCGCCTGGGAGGGTGGGCTGCCGCCTGGGCAGTTGGGATGCCTGCCTGGGTTGCTAGGCTGCCTACCTGTGGTGAGGGAACCACCGCCACATCACAGGATTGTTGCCTAAGTTCGTGTAATGATTTTTCTATTTATTTCATAGCATATGAATGCAAGCATAACAAGAATGCCAAGCTTATTTTACTTTGGTTATTTCAAACAGGCCAAACAGATACATAAAATTACATGTTTCAACTATTTAATCCTTGAGAAATACTTAGAAATAGGATTAAATCATTCCACACATTCCAAAGAATCCTTTTCTGCCCAACATTAGACAGCCAACCATAATTAGCAAGCAAATTTGTATTGATAGAGATTGATCTGGTCACTTTTGAGGCTACAACCTATTTGGCCTTATTCGTTTGTGTTGAAAAATGCCAAGCCACTTGGGAAAGGTCTACCAACCGATTTCAGCTAGTTATTTGGTGTGCTCCACCAGATATCATCATTTTATGGGTCCCGATAGTTTGGTTCAAAATTGGATGCCAGCTGCCAATTCACTTTTTGGGGTGACTGTTCGCCTAAACTCTTCCTTGCCTAGTCTCCATTACTATGGATTTAGAAGCTTCCAAAAGATATTATCTCATTTGATTGCAAATTTGATTATTTAAACTTTGCGTGATTAGAATTTAATATAATTAGTTTGAAATTTGATCCAACTAATTCACCTTGTTTTGGCTCCATGTGAGTGATCATCTATAAAATCCCTAATTATTGGATAAAATTAAATTTTTATATGATCCATCAATATTCAATTGTTATTAATGAGCACCAAGCCTTCTTGTTCAATCCGAAGCTTCATACTTCTTAATTTCCCAACAAGCAACTTGGATTCTTATTTGCTCAACCACTTTTGAGGTATCATAGAGAAACTAGGTTGAGTTTTTTTAAGATTAGATTTTTCATCATTTGATAGAGACTTTGCATTTCCTTAATTATTCATATTTCACATTGCACAAGTATTTTGAAATATCTGAGTAGAGTTGTTTTGAAGGATAGTTGTGCATTCGTGCTCCTATTGCATTATTTTTACTGGGTTTTTGCTTCTTGCAAATCGTATGCTAAAGTGTTCTAGCTTGTTATTATAAATTTGTTTTTGTACAAGTTGTGCTTTAGTAGAAAGGTTTGACAGTAGGCAATGAGCCCATAGATAAGGCAGATGTAAGGATTGGCATTGAGCCCCCCTAGAAAAAGCAGTTATCTTACTAGGTGAAAAAGGTGGAAGTTTGTAATAACTACTGCCTCCACCATTGGTGAATGTGATTGATAGAATTCTGAAGTAGGCGTTTGGAGGGTGGACCTAGACATGAAGAGAAATAAAAGACTATCAATCTTCTGTGTATTTTGTGAATAATCTAGGCATATAACAAGTGGTTGTGAGCACTTTCAAGAATTTCTTTGCAAATCCTTCCAACTCAAACAGCTTAAACAAATAAATAATTAAACAGCAAGAACACTAGCGTCCGAGTGTAAGTGCTATGACGCAAACAATATCTGATATAGTACGAAGTTATCAATTTCTAACCAAAATGATATAAAGCACATCTACTAGCATGTAAACTTGTAATCTAATAAATTAAACTAGAAACCACACAAATGCATAAGTGCATAAGAAAGATTATGTGAATGCGAATGCAAGCGTTTAGAAAATAAGCACTTAGATCAATGTATTACTTGATTAGCACAAGCTCAAAAGATTAATCAACTAAACTTATTATAGAAAGCATATAAATGTTCTAAAAGTGTATGTATATAAAATGAAGCAAGTGATTGAGCAATGCAACGATTAATGCTGGCACTATTTTTGGATATATTCTTAGACACTTGGGTTTTTTAGATCCCATATGTTCTTTCTAGGTTTATCCAAAAGATATCACTTATAAATAAACATTTGGTTCTCATATTGTGGAACACACACCCAATATAAATCTTTCTAGGATTGCGGCCACTAGATCAATTCTCTAGCATTACCTTGATCATGTCTTCCTAGTTCATTTTGGCTCTGGCGCACACATTAGAGCTGTCCACCAGTCTCGCTTGGCTCGATACACTCTGAGCTTTAGACATTCACTTAACAAGGGATTTAGGGTGATCACTTATATTTTAGCTTTCATATAGGCCTAAGGCTACAAATGAATCGAGCGTTCAACAAGCTACTCGTGACTCAACTCAATTACAGCTCGTTTAAGATTGTTTGTTTAAGTAATCAAACAAATTTGAATAAATTTTCAAATACTCGATTGTTCAATAAACAAACTTGAATAGCTACGCATTATGCTCGTTTACATTCATGAACAATATCAATAAAAGCTTGTGAATAAGCATGATATAAAGCTCATTAAGAAGCTTGATTAAATCTTTATTTGTATATTTTAACATAATTTTTAGTTTTATTTTAATAAATGATTCTTATTTTATAAAAAAAATTAATTAGATTTTTTTACGTTAGGCTCGTTCAATAGAATGAATTTTTCATTAACAAGTGATTTGTTCATATTTCTTGTATTTTTTATTTACAAGTATTCATAAGCAAGCTTGTTTATAAGAAGAATAATTCCATGAGCTCGTTTGTTCCTGAATGGACTCATTTGGTACCTCGAAAATATTCGCTAGATATGTTCGTACATGAACTTGTTTGGTAGCTCAAAAAGACTCACTAAATATATTCGCGAACAGATTCTATACAATTATTTATTAGTAACTCGAAAGGCACATTTGTTTAAAGCTCAATAAGCATAAAACAAATCGAACATCAACCATACATAAACCAAACATGAACAACTACTATTTTAAATGAACCAAGCTTGAACACCAACAAAAAACTCAAATCGAGCTCGAACAAGCTAATAATGAACAAGTTCAAATATGAACAAGCACCTGCTTGGTTCGGATCGGTTCATTTGCAGCCCTATATAAATCGGATCTATGTTTCTGTACTAAGTTATGATCAAATCCGTTGAGGACTTTGTTAGACAAGTCTAGCATATCGAACCAAAGTTTTCGTAGGCTCTTAAGATAGGCCTTACGTGTAACTCTAGGAAAAAACCACTTGAACTTGAAAGAAAACAACCTTCCAAAATAAATAATGAACTGATAGGAAACACTTGAAGATTTCAAGTAAATCCTATCAATTTTGAATAAAACAACAAAAAAAAAAAACTCTTCCAAACTTAATGAAAACCAGAAAAACACTATTTTTTATTGCAATAATCAAACTAACGAAACGAAATAACAAGATACAATTGATCCTCTATTAGAGAGGAGGATCTATCTCTCCCAAATCTCTAGATGCCGCTAGAGCCCAAGGAAAACCTAAGAGAACTCAAAATCCGGCCAAATTCAAGATGCCCTAAACCTAGAAAAACCACTTATTTAAATCAAACAATAAATAGTAAATACCCAAATAGCCCTCCCCCAATTCCCTCTTACTTCCTTGATTATTTCCCTCCAAAATCAACTCTCAAATCAGCCCCTAAATATGCATCTTCAATTAAGAAACATTTCTTAATTAATCCCCTCCAAATCAGCCCCCAAATCTTCCCTATTCAATTAAGAAACATTTCCTAATTAATCCCCTCCAAATCAACCCCCAAATCTACAATTGTAAAACATCTCCTAATTAATTCCCTTTGATTAAGAATCTTTCTAAACAGCTCCCTCTTGTTTAAGAAACTTCTTAATTCTCTCACAATCAAATCAGCTGGTCCATCAATACTCCCCTCTCAAAGTGTCACCTTG